ATAGTCTGCAGTGTTAATAAACAGCTGTTTTACAAAATTCTTCTGAGGTGAAATTCAGCGCAGACCCGTATCGTGATATGTATCGTATCGTGGCCTCTGTATCGTGATACATATCGTATCGTGACTTTACTGGTGATACACAGCCCTAATAAACAGGAGAGCAATTTCCTCATATGCTTATTGTTGACGCGTGCTGCAGTGAGTTCAGTCGTGTAACAGCTTGACTGTCATGGTTATTTACGGCTTCATGTGGCATCAACAGATATGAAGAAACTGCAGCAAGGTCAAAACAGAGCCACATGTTTAGAGCTAAACAGCACAAGATCAGCAAATGTTTGAGGTGCAAATATATTAAAACCATTGTGTTTAAATACTGCCTAAAGGTTGCTGAATGATTTTGAGGCCTTTAGCAGAACCAAATCTGGCAGGATTGTCATGTGGCTCTGTGTGTGTGTGTGTGTGTTTGTGTGTTTATTGTGGAGATATGGACTGGAATGCTCAGACAGATGGACAAAAAAGAAAAAAGATGGAAAGAGTGAACTAGACAGGAATGGTGCAGAGGAAAGAGGACAGGTGCTATAAAAACACACTTGCACACATGTGTGCCGCATACATGAATTCTGCTATCCAGCATTCTCTAGTGAATAAGTGTGCTGTTAACCTCAAAAAGAGCAATCCCTTTCCTGCTTCTCTTCAAGTTATGTCACAGTTGTGCATCAGTAGCATTTCAGTAATGTCCAAACACATTACCCAGGTAATAATAATATATTCTAAGTATGTTTTAATAATGTTAGCTAGGTGCTCTGAAAGTGCATAGTGATGTTTGTTCACATTAAAGGGTTAGTTCACCCAAAAATGAAAAAATTGGCTTGTGTTTTACTCACCCTCGAAGCATCCTAGGTGTATATGACTTTCTTCTTTCAGACGAATCCAGTCGGAGTTATATTAAAAATTGTCCTGGCTATTCCAAGCTCTATCATTGCAGTTAGCGGGTGTTGCAGTTGAACAGTTCTCAAGTCGTCAAATAAAGCACGCGCATCCATAATAAAACATGCTTCACACGGCTCCGGGGGGTGAATAAAGGCCTTCTGTAGTGAATCCATG